GACGAATACACTATACGCCAAAAGTAATGGGACTAACATGATTTTTTTAAAAAAAGTAGCATCTGACAATTTTGCTTTGTCTTTTCAACGTTGTAAGTTGAATTGTCTTGAATTATTTGTATGGGCATGGCTTCCTTTTAAAACCAAACGTGGAGTATAATTTGACTTTTAGATTATTTGATTATTTATCAATGAATTTCAACATTTGCAAGCAAAAATACCTTTATCTATACTTCTATACTAATATAATAAAGCGTAAACACAAACTACTTCGTGGCGTAGGATGTCTGCAATCATAACATATTTTTAAATAATTCTTTCTTTAATAAAAAGCTCTATATACAACTCGTTTTAGGTTATATATTTTCACGCTAGTAAACTTAGGGGGTAAATAAATTTGAAAAGAACCTTCATTTGGGAACGAGACCATAAACTACAAGCCAACATTAAGGAAGCAAGATTGTTATTGTAACGATAATTTTGACATTTGAAATTTAGAATTTGACAAATGTAAACAATAAAATAAAGTTTTTATAATTCCATGCGGATGAAGCCGTATGCGAAGCTAGTCATACTAATATTATAAATGCGAAAAATAGATAGATGGATAGATATTTGTTAGAGTTTGTAGCCTAAACGGCTGAACGGATTTCGAAGAAATTTAGTACAGATGTAGAGGATAGTCTGGAAGAACACATAGGCTACTCACATTTTTTTTAATTCTACGTAGACGGAGTTACGGGCGAAAGCTAGTAAACAATAATCTTTTGTATAATAAGTAAATCGCATATTATAGCCGTTAAAATGATTTCAATAACCAAGTGTGAACTCAGAGGTCATACCAATAAAATAAATAAAGAAATCTTCCAAGTGAATCGAGGTGGATAATTTTTTTGTCCCCTAGTGTACACTCCTAGGATATAAGTCGTTGAATTCGCTCATGCGTCTTACCGCTTTCCCGCGACACTAATGTGGGAATTTTTTTGTGAGAAAAAAGAGAATTATAAAGCTGCCAACACTTGCGCCGCCATTTTGGATTTAGCGATAAAGAGGCGGGAATTATCGACTGCGAGTTTATTGCTGGCGACTTCGTACGCGTGAAAATAAAAAATAAAGCCTATGTTACTCACTGATCACGTAGCTTTATATTGGTGAAAGAATTTTCTAAATCGGTCCAGTAGTTTTTGAGATATTTCAATACATACAAAAATACAAATGTTTCCTCTTTATAATATTAGTAGTATAAATTTACAATATTCTACAAATCTATTACAAATACATTTTTACACTTCTCGCGTTTCTTTTGTTTTTTACTGAATCTTTTTATTAATCAAATAGGCAAAAGTCTTGGTAGCCAGTATGCCATCTCTTTCTACACTTCTTGTTAGCCAAAGAGGTTAAATTTTGCACTGATTTTCGTTCACAATATGCTTAAGGTAATAAAAATTTAAAACTGTATTGGAGAATCCTACCAAATATTCTTGTAAAGTATTCGTTGGCCCTTTAGTTTTACGTAATATTGTCCGTCTGTCCGTGTCGCTGTTCACATGAACATATATCATGAGCTGTCAACGCATAGGTGCCATCTACCGGCGATATTCGGCGGTACAGTTCCTTAGTGATGGGAATCAATTGTATCGATAACATTTCTTCATTGAGTTTTATCGATAAAATAGAATACTGTTTATTAAATTCAATTTAATTCATCGCTTACTTTTTTTTATTACAATTATATCTGTATGTGTTCAGTTTTATGTATTTTTGGTTTCATTAGATTGTTTCTCAGCCAATTTAATGGTTTAGTTGCACACATAAATATCGAGTAGTGTGAGCACCTTCATCAAAGCACAAAAAAAATCAAAGCGCAACTAAACACTTATGCGATAGTTTAGTTAAAATGTGGGCACGCTCTAAGGTATAAAGACCACTCAATATAACATCACCCAGTTAATAGCGCAGCAATGGTGCAAACGGATTATATCATAAAAGAACTCTGAACAAAAATCCAATCTTCGGAACGTGTGTTCACATAATATCGCCACTTAAAAGCAGGAAGTCTAACAAAACGTATTAAAATTTTATCGACAATAAATAAAACAGACTAAGCCCCGCACTGGTCGTTCACGCACGCACGTATTGTGGCCCAGTTGATTCCATTGAGTTCGGTATCCGGTGTTACGTACATATTACGATTCGTTAAGATGTACTTGAAGAAAATACTGCGTAGTTACGTGGAAGGAAGTTGCTTCCGGGGACATTGTACGAGATACTAACATCATTTTTACATTGGTAGAGCCCGCTTTAACATCTTCGCACGAATGGGCCGGCTCGCCCGGTGTAATACCAAGACCACACAGAAGACAGGCGTGAAGTGGAAGAAATTCCGCGTTTCGTCTATGAGTGTGGTGCCGGCCCAACTTTAGTCCCTTTTCCCCGGCCTTTTTCTTATAAGAAAAGGATGGCAAGGGAACGTGGATTTGACGGTGCAGGAGACGCATAGGAAGGGGAAATCTCCTCTTTATGTGCGTCTCTTCCTCCGTCGATTAAGGGTATACAACGCATCTGCAATTGCGGATGTCTATGGACAGCGGTTGCTTCGCCAGTTTGGCGGATTCAGGTGGCCGCTCGCTCGGTTACCACCTTATGTTATAAAAAAAATATTAGACCACTGCTTATCAAAGACATTTCATAATTAAAAACAGATGTAGGTACAATTTTTATATTAGTTTCCACTTAGGCAGTCCCCTAGCAACCAATTAATTAGTCCGAGTGCAATAGTAAATAAATCGAAATGGCAGTCAATTAGATTTTATTTAAATTTTTTGGCTTCCAGTTTTGTTTTTTAAAAATTAAGGAAATGTATTTTAAAATTGGCTCGTCTTGTAGATGTACTACAAGTAAAAGTGGATGATTTTAATTTATACTATTATAATAAAGCGTAAACACACACTTTGTTGCCTAAGATGTCAGCAATTACACCATATTTTTGAATAATTCTTTTTGTAATAAAAAGCCCTACACTTACGTCACGCTTTAGGCTATATATTTTCACGTTGTTAAACTTAGGGGTATATATTTTGGATAAAAATCTAATGAGGGAAAAAGACCATAAGTTGTTGCCAAGGAAGCAAGTTTGCCATGGTTTGACATCATGTCATGTCATTTTGACATATGCAATTGATAATTTGACAAATGTGATCAATAAAATGATTTTTTTTAATTTCATGCGGATGAAGTCGCACGGTTACAGCTAGTCTGTAATAAATTACTTAACTAAACATAGATTAAACAAACAGGAAGTTAAGTTAACTTGTAATAAAATAAATTAATAGTTAGTTGAACTTATCGACATTAAGTTCATGAGCTTTGAAGTTAAATTACGCGTAATTATAGTTTACATTTATTTAATTAAAACGTAAACTTTTATAGTTGTTGATTTTAAATTGAAAATTTATGTTACATTTTCCAAATATCTATACTATAATAAAGCGTAAACACACACTTCTTTGTTACCTAAGATGTCAGCAATTACAGCATATTTTTGAATAATTCTCTTTTCCATAAAAGCCCTACACTTACGTCACGCTTTAAGCTATACATTTTCACGTCATTAAACTTAGGAGGTAATATTTTGGATAAAAACCCTAATGTGGGAAAGAGACCATAAGTTGCTGCCAACATCAAGGAAGCAAAATTAGCAAGGTTTGTCATGTCGTGTCATTTTGACATTTGCTATTGATAATTTGATAAATGTAAATTTTCATATTTTCACGCGGATGTATCCGCACGGGAACAGCTAGTAAAAAATAAATGCTTTTAAAAATCATTTTCCAGCATTATTCAAATAACATATAAAACATTACAATGGTTATTATATTTTCATAACAAATTTTCAATCCCATTTCCCACAAAGAGTGGGATAAAAAAATCATAACCTCTAAATTACCATTTTTACAAGGACCAAGGATGTTGAGACAATCTAGCGTTACATAGTGTTGCCACACATAAAGCTGTTGGTCAATGTTGCCCGGATGAATTATTAGCATATGAATTACCTTGCACCATGGAAAGCCCGATAAATAGGGAGAAATGGCCTCTAAGAGACGAAGGACTTGTTAGATTCCTCGTAAATATCAATGTGGATAAAAATTAAATCAGAATGACAACATAGAATTTAACAATCAAAATATCAACACACATAATTTCGCATTATCATATTAAAGAAATTAAATAAAGCATAATACTAGTAATATTACCTAATTTATTTATATTTTTATCGATAAACGTATTCCGAACTATTGACATCACTAGTCTTGACAGCTGTCAAAAACGTTAGAAATTTTTTATCTGTATAAAACTCTTTGTTTTTTAATTTTTATCCACAGGATTCGGAACGAGTTTTTTTTTAGTTTCGGGCGACAGTTCACTTGTCAGCCGTAAGGAATAGTTTGGAGGTAGAACCCGCTGCGGCTTTAGAAGCAGTCTGTGGGGTCGGGGTAGAGACAAGCGCCAGGGTAATGACGTAAGCACCAGGTACCAGCACTGGGGAGCTATCGAATTACATAACCTCACTTTACACATAATTGTTTTTTAATCTGTATTATGAACTATACATTCTTTGTTTTTTTCATTCCAATTTCAAATTAAGAAAAGATTAACAGAAAATTGGCGGCAAATCTAATTTGATAATGTACTTTGACATTTTCGTTTTTTTAAATCAGAAAGCACAGACTAAATATTGTTGAGTTCTTAAGATTCTATTTCATATTTAAACGTATTTCAACACCTATAATTATTTATTTTTATAATAACTTTTAGAATATGGTACAGACTATATAATTCGATGGCATCTGTGGATAGTTATTTTAGTGTTGCCATAACCAAAACGAAATAGCTTGGCTAGCTAGTATATTAAAATGGAAGGAATATAAAACTCAAGCCACAGTACAGGGTACACCAGAAGGGAAAGGGCAAGGTGCGGACCCAGAATTCAAACTCACAAACGCTGCAGGTGTTTCTGTCTCAAGAAAATGCCGTCGGCTAACTGACCTATTCTGTTATTGTTCAGTTTCCTGAAATTTAACATAAGATAAAAAGAAAACAATCATTTTGAAACGATAAAAATTTTGAGGTTAGAATTTGTCTTATACTTCCGTAAACAGTAAAACAAATCTTAATAACATTACTTATTGAATTGTTTAAATAGATTCTTAAAAATATAACTGAATTATTATTTAAAAGTGTTTAGTTATAGAAACATTACCTCTATACCTAAATATCCAAATTATATTTATATTGTTACGTACAAAATGCCAATTAGTTCTAAGATATACTAAAGTAACTAATATGCAAAAAGCCCATACTCACAATCTTTCCAGTGAAACCAACGCTAAGAATGCATCTCTTTCGATTGTGTGAATTTGGTTTTCAGATAACTGCCTGTAAAATATAAAACACTATTAAAAATATAATAAAGAAAGCAACTACTTTTTTTAAAATTCAAAATGGCTGCCATAAACAAGAATTTCAATCAGCGATAAATTAAATAAATCGATAAAAATAAATATAACCACCTATAATGAAATTAAATTTATTTTGTAATTTATATTGTTGCAGTATATTATTCTATACATTTATTGTATTTTCCTATATCCATAAATAAATAGGCTATAAAACGCGGTATTTTGTGCCGATTTGAATTCCGCCATCTTGGCGCTGTCGGTCGCTACTGGTGACGGCGAGAATTAGAACTATTATTACAATTGTAAACGCATTATTTTCATTAAGCAAAACGCGTGCAATAATACTGTTTATCTAAATTTTTTTAATAATCCATAGTTATTTTACTTACAAAATCTTCAGTTCGTTCAGATTCTGAAAGTCGCTTTGGAAGATGATTGTCAAATTGTTGCCTTGCAGGTCTCTGAAACAAGAAAAAACAGATGTAGGCAGACTGTCCTCGAGTGAAGAAAATAGCCGAATATTGGAAATTCGTTTCCGCGCCGTTTACAATCTGACGTCAATTTTGAATTTGAAGTTTTAGAGTACTTTGACTAAACAATTGCATAAATGCTGTGTATCGATTGTTTCGACAATTCAACCGTTTAGTTGCACAACTGACGAGTAGTGTACCTCCATATATCATAGGAATCAAAGCGACTAAACAGTTGTGCGATAGTTTAGTCATGCATAAATTATTCCAGATTCTTCTAATATTTAACTTATTAAAACTAAGTTAATCATTAATTTAATAATCTTGCAATTGTAAGTTGTAGGGAAAAGTGCTTTTGCAAGTTACAAGGCACGCCGCAACTTACCGTCTCTAAGTGACACTTAGTGAGCTAAGTTAATGTTGAGTGGTTTCGTTTGTAGGCTTTATTGAATTACTAGAAGTAATAGGAAGTCTAATAATGTTATATTTTCATATTTCTATTAAGTTTTCTATATTATTTACTTGTAAAAATATTATACGAAGTTTTTTTCTTTGTTTCGTGCCGCAATCTTTATTATTTACTAGCTGTTCCCGTGCGGCTTTATCCGCATGTAATCATGAAAATTTTATTTTATTCTTTACATTTGTGAAATTATTAATGGCAAATGTCAAAATGACATGACATGATGTCAAATCATGGCAAACTTGCTTCCTTGATGTTGGCAGCAACTTATGGTCTCTTTCCCACATTAGGGATTTTATCCAAAATATTTACCCTTGAGTTTAACGGCATGAAAATATATAGCCTAAAGCGTGACGTTAGTGTAGGGCTTTTTATTAAAAAAAGGATTATTCAAAAATATGCTATAATTGCTGACATCTTGCAACAAAGAAGTGTGTGTTTACGCTTTATTATAATAGTACAGATAAGCTTAAAATAACATTACGTATTTTTTAATATAGTTGTATTTTATTCTTTCGTATTAAAATTGGCATAACATAAAAGTTACCCCTAGTAGAGCTTTCCTACAAATTACCCAAGTAAGTTACGGTATGCCTGCTTAAGTGTCACTTAGCGTCGCTAAGTGGTACTCGAGCTCGGGTGAGTTAACTTAGAACTTGAAAAGGCTCTACTTGCGACCTATTTCCTTTGATAAGTTCTTTACTATATAAATTACTGTCGTGCCCTGGTTTTGCTTGCGTAATTCTTACTGAAATAAATGCCAATGTTTAGAGTAAACTGCTGAAAGGATTTCGATGAAATTTGGCAATATGTAGAGGATATTCTGGAAGAACACATACGCTACTTTTTATCCCGGAAATAGTAACGGTTCCCGTGGGATATATTTTTTCATTTTCACTCGATAACTCCGCAACATGTCTTGTTGGGATTTTGGATTCACCCTTGAAATATGTCAGATTCCCGTGGTATAAATAGGTTTTTGTTTTCCGTATGGTTTTCGATACAGTGCAGACGAAGACGCGGGTAATTGTATGTATTACATATGTCAATACTGGGAATAACATAAACATTCACATTACACAATAATCGGCATATAAAAAACCTTCTTTTAATCTTTACGAGCAGGCTTCAACGGATCTTAAGACGTAAAGTTTTTATTACCCTGTCAAGGGAAAAAATAAAGATATAACAAAGTTATAGACAAGGCAACAAAATAAAAATAACGAGAAACACTACGTTATGTTCACTGGATGTCGGATAATCGACTACATTGGAAAACAGTTATCGCATAAAAAAATTTCTCTTTTATATTTTGAAGTTTGAAAGTAGCCCCAGTGGTAGAGAAGGTAAGGAGTAAAAGGTTAGCATGGGGGCATGTTATGAGGAGGGATGAATCGCATGTTACAAGAAGAACGTTAGTTATGAGTACACCGGTAGAGGTAGACATAGAAAGAGAAGTATTGCGTGAAAGGTGACATGATCAAGAAGGGTGTGATGACTGAGATGACGGATGATAGAGTTATTTGGAGGAGGAAAACCCGGAAGTAGGATAAGGTAGGGACATGAAATGTATTTCTTTTTTCTACACGATATAAGTGTCTTTCTCGTAATAAAGAATTATGTCATGCGTCAGTTCTGGTGTATTAATAAGTCTGTGGTAAATACCCTATTCTATATCACAAAGCGATATAGAGGTGCTCAGAGACGTAAATGTACCAAATAATGAGGGAATTGGGTCGGGTTATTGACCTTATCTTAAAGCCTTCAAGTATAACATCAGTCTGGAACAATTTTGACGGGAAGGTAATTGACACGCGATAACTTTTTACCGCACAGATGAACACGCAGGCGTATGCTAGTACACTAAAACAGTCACCTATGAAATGGGTTACCAACTATATATCGATACTAAAACTACACTAAGGAGTCTATCAATTAACGATTGAAGACAGTAGCGCATGTGTACCAGGAACTGCTAAACATTTACTAACATCTATGGACTTTTTGGTCTTATTTTTAAAACCGAAGGTTCTTCTTCTTTAGTATTTTGAACTAGATTTCGTAATGCCGTTCAAGTGGAATTAAAAAACGAAAGCAGCTGTATTCCATACTATCCTCTACATGTATGACAATCGTGATCCGTTCAGTTTACAAACATACAAACTATCGCATCATACTAATATTATAAATGTGAAAGTTTAGATGGATGTTTCTTAGTTTGTAGCCTAAACGGTGGATTGGCATAGTCTGGAAGAACACATAGGCTACTTACGTTTGTTTTTTATATTCACACAGAAGAGTCGAGACAAAAGCTAGTTTATAATGCTCATCATCACCAGCTCACTATACGTCCCCACCGAGGGGCTCGGAGCCTACCCTAAGTTAGTGACTAGGCCATAGTCAACCACGCTGCACTGCGGGTTGGTTGACTTCACACATATCTTTGAATTTCTTCGCTGATATGTGCATCACGATGTTTTCCTTCACCGTAACGTCGGGTAAATTATGTACATATGAAAATTAGAAAAATCGAAAATCAAATTGGTACATGGCGGGATTCGAACCCAAGACCTGTAGATTTCAAGTCAAGTGTTCAAACCACTGAGCCACCGACGCTCTTTATAACGCTTATAATACTAGTAAGAGGCATATTTATGCGATTGTACATTTACTTTCAACATAAACGAAATATATACTAATGTTATAAAGAGGAAAGATTTGTATTTTTATATGTATTTGATTCACGCAAAAACTACTGTGCCGTGTAGAATAAAATTGTCTTTTACAGTATTTAAATTGGACTAATAGTTTCGAAGATATCGCGAACACAAACAATAAGGGTAACCGAAAAATCAGCGCACAAACTACAATGCCTAGGAACCTAGTATCTTGCATCAGTAGATTTCTGTTATTAAGTTAATACTTAAGGTAATAGGTAGAAAAAAGTGGAACGTAAGTTTTGAAGTTTCAAATTTCACGCGGACGAAGTCGCGGGCAACAGCTTGTATGAAATGTAATTAAACATTAATTTTAATCAATCCTGAATGTACCCGCTATAAAGACTCGATTATCTTTGCCTCTTGAGTTCTGATTGCGGCACAACTTGTAATTCGGACGATTGTAGTAACACCACAATTTTAAACCATTTCGGACATGCCCCCAATATAACGAAAAATAGATAGATAAATTCATTGACATTTTATACAACTGGAGTTCCTTAATGGTTAATAGAAATTTGACCTAGTTATTTAAAATGCTTTACGAGTAACTAAATTCTATCTATACTAATACAATAAAGCGTAAATACATACTATTTTGTGGCGTAGGATGTCAGCAATATCAGCATGTTTTTGAATAACTCTTTCTTTAATAAAAAAGCCCTACAATTACAATTCGCTTTAGGATATATATTTTCATGCAATTTAACTTAGGGGGTGAATAAATTGGAAAAAAACTTCATGTGGGAAAGGGATTATAAACTACAAGCTGCCAACATTAAGGAAACAAAGTAATTATGATAACAGTTATTTTATTTTTTCAATTGAGAATTTAACAAATGTATACAATATAACGCATGGGAACAACAGCTAGTGTTAAATTAAATTGACTTTAGTCATTTAATAAACAACAATATGTACGAAAATTAAATCTATAGTTTTAATATGTTGTTTTTGTAATATTTATACTTTATTTAAAATCGACTACTACTGGCGAAAATTTTTAACTTCACTTTAAGACTGCAGGAAATGTCCAGTCTATTAAATGCAATATGGTGTTTCTACATTCATCGGACAAGTTTTAATTGGTCCGTCGTATTCGTGGCGGATCATTACGAGAGTCGTGCAGCGCCGCACAGACAGATACGCCGACATTATATAGTAAACATTGTGTTAATTAACTATTACATTTACTTGTGGTTACCTTTGTATTTTTTTTTATAATATAAGATGGCAAACGAGCAAGCGGCCACCTGAATCCACCGAAATGGAAAGCAACCCCTGCCCATAAACACCCGCAATTGGAGATACGTTGCCTACCCTTAATTGACCGAGGAGACGCACATAAAGAGGACATTTCCCCTTCCTATGCGTCTCCTCCACCGTCAAATCCACTTTCCTTCCCATCATTTCTCTTAAGTAAAGGATGGAAAGGGTAAGGGACTAAAATTAGGCCTCCGGTACCACATTCATCAGACGAAACACAGAATTGCTTCCACTTCACGCCTGTTTACTCTGTGGTCGTGGTATTACACCGGGCGAGCTGGCCCTACAGTGCGAAGATGTTAAAGCGGGCTCTACCACTATATTTATGGTTTACAAACTTGGGATAAAACAGTTTACGAAAAAGGCAAACTCTTAGCTTGTAATACCTTTTTCAGATGTCACCTTTTTGGTGTGTTTTCTATAGTTAAAGCGCACACCTTTGTCTAAATTTTCACACAACTGTAGTGTGATTGTCGATTGTCAATTGTTTCGCAGCCAATTTAACTGTACAGTTGGACAACTGAAAATCGAGTAGTGTTCACCTT